ATTATGTCGTTTTGAAGCGACATAACTCCGCCGCTCTAAAAACGACATATATCCGCGGAAGATATGACGTTTGAAAACGACATAACTCCAATTTTGGACTCGTAAGGATCAGTACTATCGATTTTTTTGAATATCTCGGCCAAATAGTGTTAGATTTTCAAATTTTATACCATTTTGGACTCGTAAGGATCAGTACTATCGACTGGCATCAAAAAATAGAAAATCAAAATTTTGACCCAAATCGACCAAAATGGCAAGGGGTTACAACACGATTTTTATCAAAATCGGGTTCGGTTCGAAAATCAAACCTTTTTTGATGATTTTTTTGAATATCTCGGCCAAATAGTGTTAGATTTTCAAATTTTATACCATTTTGGACTCGTAAGGATCAGTACTATCGACTGGCATCAAAAAATAGAAAATCTAAATTTTGACCCAAATCGACCAAAATGGCAAGGGGTTACTATCGACTGGCATCAAAAAATAGAAAATCTAAATTTTGACCCAAATCGACCAAAATGGCAAGGGGTTACATCACGATTTTTATCAAAATCGGGTTCGGTTCGAAAATCAAACCTTTTTTGATGATTTTTTTTGAATATCTCGGCCAAATAGTGTTAGATTTTCAAATTTTATACCATTTTGGACTCGTAAGGATCAGTACTATCGACTGGCATCAAAAAATAGAAAATCTAAATTTTGACCCAAATCGACCAAAATGGCAAGGGGTTACATCACGATTTTTATCAAAATCGGGTTCGGTTCGAAAATCAAACCTTTTTTGATGATTTTTTTGAATATCTCGGGCAAATAAAGTCTGATTTTCAAATATTATACCTTTTTGAATTTGTATGCTTTCTGGCGAAATTATGACGTTTGAAAACGACATAACTCCGCCGCTGATCATGGCGAGATTATGTCGTTTTGAAGCGACATAACTCCGCCGCTCTAAAAACGACATATATCCGCGGAAGATATGACGTTTGAAAACGACATAACTCCAATTTTGGACTCGTAAGGATCAGTACTATCGACTGGCATCAAAAAATAGAAAATCTAAATTTTGACCCAAATCGACCAAAATGGCAAGGGGTTACATCACTATTTTTATCAAAATCGGGTTCGGTTCGAAAATCAAACCTTTTTTGATGGTTTTTTTGAATATCTCGGGCAAATAAAGTCTGATTTTCAAATATTATACCTTTTTGAATTTGTATGCTTTCTGGCGAAATTATGACGTTTGAAAACGACATAACTCCGCCGCTGATCATGGCGAGATTATGTCGTTTTGAAGCGACATAACTCCGCCGCTCTAAAAACGACATATATCCGCGGAAGATATGACGTTTGAAAACGACATAACTCCAATTTTGGACTCGTAAGGATCAGTACTATCGATTTTTTTGAATATCTCGGCCAAATAGTGTTAGATTTTCAAATTTTATACCATTTTGGACTCGTAAGGATCAGTACTATCAACTAGCATCAAAAAATAGAAAAATCTAAATTTTGACCCAAATCGACCAAAATGGCAAGGGGTTACATCACGATTTTTATCAAAATCGGGTTCGGTTCAATAAATCAAACCTTTTTTGATGATTTTTTTGAATATCTCGGGCAAATAAAGTCTGATTTTCAAATATTATACCTTTTTGAATTTGTATGCTTTCTGGCGAAATTATGACGTTTGAAAACGACATAACTCCGCCGCTGATCATGGCGAGATTATGTCGTTTTGAAGCGACATAACTCCGCCGCTCTAAAAACGACATATATCCGCGGAAGATATGACGTTTGAAAACGACATAACTCCAATTTTGGACTCGTAAGGATCAGTACTATCGATTTTTTTGAATATCTCGGCCAAATAGTGTCCGATTTTTAAATTTTATACCATTTTGGACTCGTAAGGATCAGTACTATCGACTGGCATCAGAAAATAGAAAATCTAAATTTTGACCCAAATCGACCAAAATGGCAAGGGGTTACATCACGATTTTTATCAAAATCGGGTTCGGTTCGAAAATCAAACCTTTTTTGATGATTTTTTTGAATATCTCGGGCAAATAAAGTCTGATTTTCAAATATTATACCTTTTTGAATTTGTATGCTTTCTGGCGAAATTATGACGTTTGAAAACGACATAACTCCGCCGCTGATCATGGCGAGATTATGTCGTTTTGAAGCGACATAACTCCGCCGCTCTAAAAACGACATATATCCGCGGAAGATATGACGTTTGAAAACGACATAACTCCAATTTTGGACTCGTAAGGATCAGTACTATCGATTTTTTTGAATATCTCGGCCAAATAGTGTCCGATTTTCAAATTTGATACCATTTTGGACTCGTAAGGATCAGTACTATCGACTGGCATCAAAAAATAGAAAATCTAAATTTTGACCCAAATCGACCAAAATGGCAAGGGGTTACATCACGATGCTTTCTGGCGAAATTATGACGTTTGAAAATTGAGATTATGTCGTTTTGAAGCGACATAACTCCGCCGCTCTAAAAACGACATATATCCGCGGAAGATATGACGTTTGAAAACGACATAACTCCAATTTTGGACTCGTAAGGATCAGTACTATCGATTTTTTTGAATATGTCGGTCAAATAGTGTCCGATCTTCAAATTTTATACCATTTTGGACTCGTAAGGATCAGTACTATCGACTGGCATCAAAAAATAGAAAATCTAAATTTTGATCCAAATCGACCAAAATGGCAAGGGGTTACATCACGATGCTTTCTGGCGAAATTATGACGTTTGAAAATTGAGATTATGTCGTTTTGAAGCGACATAACTCCGCCGCTCTAAAAACGACATATATCCGCGGAAGATATGACGTTTGAAAACGACATAACTCCAATTTTGGACTCGTAAGGATCAGTACTATCGATTTTTTTGAATATCTCGGCCAAATAGTGTTAGATTTTCAAATTTTACACCATTTTGGACTCGTAAGGATCAGTATTATCGACTGGCATCAAAAAATAGAAAATCTAAATTTTGACCCAAATCGACCAAAATGGCAAGGGGTTACATCACGATTTTTATCAAAATCGGGTTCGGTTCGAAAATCAAACCTTTTTTGATGATTTTTTTGAATATCTCGGCCAAATAGTGTTAGATTTTCAAATTTTATACCATTTTGGACTCGTAAGGATCAGTACTATCGACTGGCATCAAAAAATAGAAAATCTAAATTTTGACCCAAATCGACCAAAATGGCAAGGGGTTACATCACGATTTTTATCAAAATCGGGTTCGGTTCGAAAATCAAACCTTTTTTGATGATTTTTTTGAATATCTCGGCCAAATAGTGTCTCGGCTAGCTTGACAAACTTGTCCACAACTGAGCCTCTGCAGCTGCTGTCAATTGTTAGTATTGATGATGACAGTTTATTATTATTAAAGCAAACCCAAATTATGTGGCCTGGCACTGACTGAGTCTGTTGCTAGCGTGTGAAATGTGCCTGCAACGGAAATGAGGTTTCAATTATGATTTATGCAGGCAACAATGCATCGAGCAAGACGACCAACCGCACAGACGTAGACATTAACATTTGCCGACTGCCAGGGCAGTTATTAGCCAGCCGCACACCCACGCACACTCACACACGCTCATATAACACGCATAGCAAGTGCATTTAGAACTTGACACGCATATTTAGTGGCAACAACAAACCTAATTACGCATGTCCGAAAGCGACCACTGCAGTCGAGTCGAGTCGAGTTGAGTTCTTGTTCTCCCCCCTTGGGCTGCATTTATGAGTTGCACTTTGCCAAGTTTGTCTCTGTGTGTGTGTGTGTGCCTGGCAGTGCATTTCAATAAGAATAAGTGACCGATGCAGTTGCAACTGCTGTTGCAACTTGAGCTGACCCACGCCTGACCAGCTGCCAACTGCCAACTGCAATTCCAAAACAGTTGCAACATTTGTCATCAGCAAAGATTTGGCTGCGCCCCAATCCTGTCTGTTCTCTGAATGTTAACTTGGTTGTGCGGCGCACAGATTTTATGATTGCGTCTCCTGTTTCGCTGCCTCTTGCCACATGCCGCAGTAACGCCCCAAATGTTTCGTGCACATATGCTATTCCCTGTATGTGTGTATGTGTGCGTGTGTGTCTATGTGTGTTAGCTGAATTAGCTCTGATTAGGCCTAATAGAGCTGCTGCTGCGGTGCATTGCATGGGGTTTTAGCTTGCACCCAAATTTTGGGACATGCGGCAGCTGAAATTGTTAAATGCCTGTTGCTGATTTACTGATGGTAACTCGTTTGCAGCTGTTTTGGAAATCTTATTTGGCAAACTGGCCTGCAAATGGAGCTCTGATGAGTGGCCAACATGCAAAACGCTTTTGGATATGGTATGTAGTTCGTCCTTTGCACTGTTCTTTACATTTCAATCATATTTTTAATATATACCATAACAACTGGATCAAGACATGGTCTGCTATATTTATAAGAAAATTTTCATGGGGAATAACTTCTATAAAAAATATTCCAAAAGCTCTTATGGTTCCAAAATCAGAGCTCTATTTTATAATGCCTGAACTTTAATACTCATATATAAATAAGCGTTGCTTAAAATAAGCTTTATTTCCGCTTGAATGCTTGCACAAATATATATTTAGATCGTTATATATATTTGAATATATATATATCTATATATATATAGATATATATGGGTGTATAGGCTGGCAGTCAGTCAGGAAAAACAGTTTTATATATAGAGATAATAAAAAAATGGTTAAAATGTGTTAAGTTGAGCAAAAGCGTAAAAAAGTTGCTTATTTTGGAGTATGTATGCATGTATGTGGGAGTGTATATGTATGTATGTGTGTGTAGAAATGTTTGTATTAATGAATGTATGTGTATGTATAGGTGTGTACGCACACACACACATGAATGTTGTGTTTAACACAGTCTAAGTCAAATTAAAACTAAAATTATTTTTAAATGCTCTCCTCCTCGATTCTCAAAAATTTAAGTAGGCTCTGCTGAAATTAAGCAAGGCAGGAAACGTTGGCTCCAACGGCTGGCGGAGGTGGAGCAGGAGGCGGTGGAGCGGGTAAGTAGAGTTGTATGTAGATGTAGATGTAGATGTATGTATGTAGATGTATGTATGTAGATGTATGTATGTAGATGTATGTATGTATGTGGATGTATGTATGTAGATGTATGTATGTAGATGTATGTATGTAGATGTATGTATGTAGATGTATGTATGTAGATGTATGTATGTAGATGTATGTATGTAGATATATGTATGTAGATGTATGTATGTAGATGTATGTATGTATGTATGTATGTATGTATGTACGTATGTATGTACGTATGTATGTATGTATGTATGTATGTATGTATGTATGTATGTATGTATGTATGTATGTATGTATGTATGTATGTATGTATGTATGTATGCATGTAAATATGTAAATACGTGGGCATGCGTAAGCGCTCCAAATTAAAAAAAACGTATTTTTATCAAATGCTCTACTACTCGATTCTCATGAATTCAAGTAGGCCCTGCAGAAATTCAACAACGCAGGAAACTCCAACGTCCGGTGGAGGAGCAACTTCTGGCGGTGGAGCAGGAGGAGGAGGAGCAGGTAAGTTAATAAGTAGATGCATGTATTTAGGTGTACGTATGTAGGTATGTATGCATTATTGATTGTATGTATGTGTCTATGTATGTTTGATTGTGCATATGTATGGAAGTATATATCTATTAGACCATTTTTAAATCAATTTTACTTATAAACTTAACTTCTTTTTTTTTCAGAGATTTATGCATACAAAGGATTTATACATACAGCATTAACACTAATGGAAGGAAATAAGCTAACCTGCATGGATGTGAATTTCAGGTAAGTACATATATATAAATTAAATATATATAAAAATAATAATAAGTGTTAAGGCAATTCAGAGCTGGCTATTGACAAATTTTGTATAAGTCATAGGTTAAAGCTGCTCCTATATTTTATTTTAAAACCATTTTAAAGTTCTTTCCATTTGTTTGCTGCTATTTTGGGTCTGTTTTTTGTTACTTAAGTTGGACTGAACAACCTCTGTTACTTATGCATATATATATTACCTCATTAACCAATATTATTCAAAGTTGCATTCCTCTTCTTGGGGTACTTGGCAAATAAATCTAATTATGTGACAGCTCTCACAGTTTGCATGACGTTGAGAGAGGCCGCAATGCATGTCAATAGGAAATTATGTTTGCAGCCTGTTTACGGCACTTACACTTGAGCACACAGTTGTCCCCATGGTACCCATGGTTCCTACATAAAATCAAATATTGTGGTTGCAGCCACTTGAGTCACAGCTACAGTGACAGCAGTAACAGCAGTAACTTACTTTGCCCCGCTGGCCGGAGAAACTGTCAAGCTTTCAGTTTGGTCTTGCTGTCACATGCTGCCACACCCACTAAAACACTTGTCAATTTGGGGTACAATTCATACTCGCCGCATTGCTGTAGAACAAGCAAATGCATAAAATGACCATAACATGGCTAACAACGCAAACACACACACCCACACACACACACACAGGCACGTAGAGCGTAGGTTCTGTGTCGTGTCACCAATTTCAAGGCGGCACCTACAACAATCCTCTAGCCAGATGTGCGGGGCATAGGCAGGCTGAATTCCAATTGGAATACAGCTGAATTAATTATTTAATTTAATTTATTGACTTATTTAACTCGATTTAGTACCAGCTCCTTGACAATCATTTGATTTGCCACAATGAAATGCAAAAATTATGACCAGCGTTGCCAGACAGCCGCACAGAAGCTGAGCACGCAATTTCCGCTTTGCGTGTTTTTTGGGTAAACACAGAAACAAATGCTTGGCCCGCCCAACAACAATATTTGGCAAAATCCTATTAACTAAGAGCTCGAATATTGACCATGCCAAGGGAGGAGGGGTGGCGGCCACTTTGCTGTCCACTCAACGACTGACAAAATATTGGTTTAGTTTGGCTGCCTGCAGAATAATGAAATGTTTGTATGATTGAGTGCCCAAACAAAAAAAAAAAAACCACAACAACAACAAGGCAACAAGGATGAAATTGGCAGAATTCTAGTTTGATTTTTTATATATAACCCTAATAAGTTGTATTTGTATATTTGTTGGTTTGTGAAGGGCCGGCAGCAGGAAATTGTTGCATGGCGTTGCCATATTATGCAAATCAGAGCTATTGAGCTGAGTTAAGCACAGTCAACAACCACAACAGCAACAACAAGTGCCACAGCAACACTGGCAAAGTGCAGCAACAAGCAAAAACCGAAAACCAAAAACCGAAAACCACTTTGCCAACTTATTTGTGGCAAGCAACATTTGCATGCATTGACGCATCATCATCGACACTGTGCATGCCTCTCGATATGTGGGTGTGAGTGTGCGCGTGTGTGTGCATGTGTGCGAGAGTGCGTGTGTGTCCTTGTGAAAAGTAGAATTACATGTGTGCTGGATTGTTGCTGCTGCTGCTGCTGCTGCTGCTGTCCACTTTTCGGCTGTGGTTTTTTTATTGTTGTGTTTGTGTGGAAATGCGGCTCTTGACACACACACACACAAGCCGAGGATAACAGATGAACACTACATGCCAGCAAATTCATCCACACAAATCAATTGAAGTTTGCCAAAGGGCGTGGCAGACCCCAAATGTGTCAGCTCATATGTCAATTTGCCATGCATCCTCCATCCACATGCCGCACAGTCCGCTGCACGATTGAAAAGCAATAAAAAGACTCGAATTTGCCATCGTTTAAGCGGCTCAGCTAAAAGCTGAACATGGCAAGTGCACATAAATATATAGTGTTACTCAATATATATATTCATATTTATCAATTGTCAAGTGGTTGTGCGTGTAGCTCTAGAGTATATTCTGGTTATGCAACCAAATGATAAAGTTTCTTCGATTTCATATGTGAGCTGGCCTTAATTAAAAATTGTGCTTGGCCATGGAATAGAATTACAATAATGTGTGAAAGAATGGATATGGGCAAAATGTGTTACAAGAAACGAAGAGGTATTGATTAGTAATCTGTTAAAATGGAGCAGACAAAAGATTACAAAAGCAGACAAAAGATTATAAGAGATGCATTCGATATTTGATATATAATACAGAAGTCGTAACTGTGGGCGAGTAGTTTCTCAGTACAAAGTTCGTTTCTAAAGCAGACAAAGAACATGGAATATTATTTCAAATGGTTGCATAACATCCTGGTATAAAAACTCACAAAAATAGTCTGCATCCACATAATATATACAAAAATTAGATAAGCGGAATCAAACTTTTTCTTTTTATAAAAACCTTTATTTAAGCAGACATATTCCTTTTCAGGACCCAATCGCTAGCTTCTGTTTCTAAGCGTCTAATCCTAGAACTCGTTCTCTCTCTCTCTTTTTTCCCTCTTGCCCTTATATTAAAATATTAATACTATGGATATATTGCGCACTTGTGCCTCGATTTGGCCAACAGTTTATTAACAATTTAGGCGGCTTTTCGACTCTTTATTTGCCCAGTCTTTATTTGCCAAATTTGAAGCTGCTTCAATGTGCCACTCTTAACACGGCTAACACACTCAAAGGTGTGTGTGTGTGTCTGGTAATCAACGCATCCATTTTGAGCGATTATATTTCACAGTTGGCAGACAGAGACACAGAGAAAGATTTCAGGCCATCTTTGAGTGCTTGGTGAGGATCATTTTACAATTTGTGTGCCAACACTGCGGCATGTGGTTAGGTTTTACAGGATGAGGTCGTGGCCAGTGTTCAAAGTATTGCCCCATTAAGCTGCGCAACAATGCACACACACACACACACACACACACAGCAGCTGTTGTGTCGAGTAGTCGAGTATTTGGGGTCTAATTACAAAACACAAATGCTCCATAATTTCAAAATCAAACCCCTGATTGTAGGCATTCTAGTGCCTGTCATTGACATGCATGATTTCGTAATTTAAACGGCAATCAGGTTTAGCTACCCCAACCTAACCACTCACCCCTCCCAGCACCCCGCCCCATGCACCACATGTCAACAGTCAGCAAACTTCTCTGTCAGCAAAATCATGCAAAATGTCGCATTGGGGCAGACTCGTTGCGCATACGACTGGATTTCCATGGATGAATTGGCGGGGCGTGGGGTGGGGCAGCCTGCGAGTCTGCCTGATTGCGCCGACTGTCCGTCAGTCTGCCCGACCGTCTGTCTGTCTGTCTAGCAGTTGTTCAATGTCCCATTCAAAGTTTATTGATTTCGTTCGAAATTGACACTTGCATTTTTGTGCGTTGCGCTTTTACTGCCCCTTGTCAGCGAATTGGCCAATTGATAATTTGGCTAATACCCAAATGTTAACCATATGCGTTAGCTGGCATTAGCCACGCTTAGCTGTGGCCCAATTGACAGCCGCAACTTCAGCAGCCGCCAAGTGCAACCAAATGATATTGCATTACCTGTGCTCTTTATGAGCACCTGAAAGGGGGCATTGTCAAGGGGGGAGGGTCAACTGCTCAGCGGGCACATTACAAACTCTGCGTGCCCCTCATTTAGATGGACCACTTAACAAACAACTGCATTGGAAAGGGACCTCAGCTTGTGAAGCTGTTGGCGCATGATTTTTCCAAATATATCGCAGCACAAATGCCAAGCGATTTGCTCACAATTTAGTATTCATTTGTTTTGATACCCTCTACCCACTGTCTACGACTTGGGGTTGTTATGTAACAGGCAGAGGTAGGTCTTTCGATCTAAGAAAAATACATGTATTAACTCCTGCCATTTGCACGCTATCGATAACAGTCTCATATAGTATACACATATCCAAAATATATCCTTTTATTTTTCAAAATTCAAAGGTTTGAAAGATTTCTGTTCATATCTTGCGTCCCATAACGTTGGAAGATTAGGCTCAAGCAGCTCGCCGCTGTTTACAGGGTATCTGCAAATCAATCTTAACTAGATCAATCTAACTTGTTTTTGTTTATCAAATCGACAGATGTGCATTTTTCATTTGATTTGAGCTGTCAACAGCAAAAGGCCAGCTGACACATGCACACACTTACACACTTACACATTCGCATTCACATTCACACACACACATGCACACAAAATTATAGGTGTCAATGGCAAGTAGAAAGAAACAAAGATATATGGTTAGCAACACGGGGGTGAAGGGAAACACATTGTCATACAATTTATTGCAATTGAAATCTGAGCAGCTTGTGTGACCCTTGAACTCTGCCGCAGGGCTTCGGCTGGGCGTGACAAATGCAAGCACAGGTCAAATGCCAATTGCTCTTTGGCTACGCGTGCTGTTTACATAAAAATATGATATAACAACTATTTTAAAGTGGGCAATGGTGTGGGAATATGAGATAAATATAATTTATAAGGCCTGACCGGAATAATAATTACAATTATTGGGCGGTGCATTCCTGAAAAAGTTCTACGTTTATTTTCCGATTTTAATCGAATGTTCAGGTTACTCAAAGGAAAGTGCATGCATGATACTTGAAAAAGAAAATGCTAGGCAACTCCTTTTAGTTTATATAAATATATATATTTTTGGTAATATGATATGATATTCGAGCTTTAAATCCGGCGCTAAAAACCTACAGTTATCGATTAGATAGTAATCGTCGATAATTTGAAACAAACGATAACATTAAACATCTCTAGTAGTTATCGAGGAAGCTTAGTTCGATAATGTTAAGCAGTTGATGCTGGTCAAGATTATATAGAGTCTATGGGCCTGGGCAAATATCCTTTTGCAGATTTATTTTCGTAGATAACTAGGTAAATGTGTATTATATACTTCCTATTCCATGACTTTTTATGTATTCAACGCTTTT